AAGGCTGCCACCAGCACAGCCGGTTAAAATGCTTCCAGCAAAGCCTCAAGTAGTGACGAACTGATTTCAGGGAAGAACTATGCCTCAAGGCACAGGGATTGAGGATACTGTAATAATAATGCAGATATTTATGGAGTGTTGCTGCCTTCCCAAGACCAGTCAAACCCCAAGATAGATAAATCTGTTATTCCCGCTCCCCATTTTACAGATAACAAATTAAAGCTCAGAGAGCTTAAGGAACCAATCTGGAATCACACAACTGTCAATTGACAGAAGCAAATGTAACCCATATCTCTGCCTCCAGCCCACCTATATACTTTTCCAGATACTACATTGTTTCTCACTTTTCAAGTGGGTGCATTTCAAGGGCTGCGACATCCAGCCACCAAACAGACCCCAAGTTCCTACTGCTTGCTCTGATTGCCTCATTACAGAGCAAAACCCGATAAGAATAATGAGAGAAGTGGGTAACAGAGTGAGGACTGTCTCCTTTCCCAAGAAGAGGTTAACAGTCGACCAGGTTAATAGTAGCACTCCTAGTTGGTTATGATTAAAGGTGGAAGAGACAGAGTATATTTTTAAATAGAGTAGGGAAGGAAGGTGACTGTGGAATTTCTTTTGCCAAGGAGTGTGCTATGGTTTTTTCTTTTCTTTTTTTTTTTTTTTTTTTTAACAAACCTGGCTCAGAGACAAGATATAATAATACTAATATCCAACACTGATGTGCCAGGCACAGCTCTAAGCACTTACAAGATAGAGCAGTAGTGGGAGATTTCAATTATTCAAACAACAGCTGGAAGTTTAATTTTGCTATAAGTCTAGCATCAGCACAAATCCCGATTTGCCTCACTGACTCATCTCCAGAGTAGGATCTGGCATCTGATGCCTGGGTTTGCATCCTAGCTCTGCTGGCTGTACAGTGGCAAATTCTGTGGCCTTGAGCAAGCACCTTTGTCCCAGGAGACCTATCTGTTGAGGGTAGCAATAGTGACTCACTCCTTCATTGTGTTCATGGGAGAATTCCAAGGGGTGTTGTAGGTGAAGGGCCAGCCTAGCACCCAAGGAAGCTCTTACCATGCATGAGCTATTGATGTTACGTCTTTCAAGTAAGGGTGCTGTTTCAACCAAAAATGCATAAATTGAGGTGATGTGGAAGTAATGATGACTAAGAGATGACTTCTGGTCTAGGACAAGATAAGGAAAAGGAGAAAATGCTGGGCTCATTTCAAGAGTGTGGAGAAAAGTGTGACTTCATGAACTCTAGCCTAAATTCCTAACTAGGAATATGTGTATGAAGGATAGAAGGGTAGAGGGCATTCCAAAATAAATTTCTAACTAGTCATTAATCATATTGAGAAGAAAAAGGAAAGGAGTTTGCTTTGGGTTTTTAAGTCACTGTGACAACAGCAGGGAGCTCTAGCTGAACCCATCCTCTAAGGGAAAGAGAAACACGCAGAAACAGAGTGTGTGCAAGCACAAAAAAGACCACACAAAAGCAACTCACATCTCTGAGCCTGGCTCAGGCAAACTGAAGGCCAAGCAGAATGACAGACAATGTTCAAAGCAAAACAATAACAAAAACGAGGAAAGCAATACTCAATAAGGACTCTGCCGGTATGAAAGAGTTCTGTCTTTTCCAGAGTAGTAGCCATAAACTAAAAATGAAAGAACAGTTGCTGAAGCCCAGTGTAAATCAACAGAGACTTAACTGACCTTGGGAAATAACACATACATTTGAATCCAAGTTGCTGGACAATCCTATAGATGTTATTCAGGGCCCACTTTGGCAATTCTAGAAAATGGAGTTGGTTCTATCTAATGAGAAGCAAATAGACATGTCCCCGTTTTCAAAAATAAGAAAAGGGAATATTCTGGAAACACATGGATATATTTCATTCCTATCCCTGGCAAGATTCTAGAATATGTAATTAACACAGATATTAGTGTGTTAATATGAGTTCTCTTATTTTTTTTTCCTTTTAGAGGTCGTAAGGGAGTCATTTAGAAAATCTTATTTGATCTCAGCATAATGTCTTATGCTTTGATGGAAAGAACACTGACTTGAGGTCTGGAGACCTGGATTTTAATCTATTCTACCATTAATTAATTAGATAACCACAGGGAAGTTTCTTTCCCTCACCAGTTCTCATTTATGAAATATGGGACATGTTCTCTTAGGTCCTGCTCACTAAGTTCCTTGATTCCACTGTGTAATGAAAACTGGGCTGGTTAGATACAGTTCAATCAGAATGTGCAGCCCTAATAGAACAGTCACATTCTAAGGACTGCCCGGGTACCATGAATGGGACCAAGGAAAGGAACTGGTCCCTGGTTTTGCCTTATGTACTCATGTTAATGACTTAATCCCCAAATGATAAGAGAGCTAGGACCAAGGGTCACAAAATGAGGATTTGATTAGACTGGAAGAATTTAGGACCCTTCAAATTATCCAGATGTCTGGAGATCTGGAGTTGAGGGGCTGCATCTGATAAAAGTCAGATGAAATTAATTAACATAAATGCAAAGTTCTATGTCGAAGCTATTTTTTTTAAAGGCTGCACAACTGGGCATGGTGGCCCACCTCTGTAAGCCCAACTACTTGGAAGGCTGAGGCAGGAGGATCACAAGTTCAGGCCCAACCTGGGAAATTTAGCAAGACCCTGTATCAAAATCAAAATAAAAAAGGCTGGGAGCTTACCTTAGTGCTAGAGCATCCCTGGGTTACATCCCCAGCACCCTCTGCCCCAGGGGAAAAAAATCCTATACAAGTGCAACTTAGGGAAGAGCTGGCTTAGAAATAGATCATGGGATAAAGGTTCAGGTGACTGAGATGACTACCCATTTAAACTGAAGGGATGCCATCATCTAGCTGTTAATGAAAGGGCTAGCATAGCTGTCATTGTGGGTAATGATACGGGTAATGGTAGGGGGTAACCTGTATTGAGCTCTTACATGGGCTTTACACATTGTCTCATTTCTGGGGCATGACAGTGTCATAGAATTCCAGTCTTGGTCAGGGCTGGTCTCATTGCCGCCTGCCCCATCATTCCTGTTTTGGGTGTTGTTCTCAGTGCTGGAGGTCTTACCAAGTCAGTTGGCAACAAACTGGAGCATGTACAAAGTAGGACAGCCAAAATGAGAAAGGGTCTGAAAACCAAGTCCAGCAGGAAAAGGTTAGGAGAGTGGACAGGCTCAATCGGACAGGCTGCACAACTGCTGTGGTGTGGAGGGAGGAAGCAGAAAGGAGTCCTCCAGCTTAGGCTCTGACTGCCTGCTGTCAGATTTGTGTGTTTCCACTTGTCAGCCATGTGCTGTTGAGCAAGTGCCTCGGTTTCCCCACACTTAAAGAGAGGTTAGTCATTGTAGATTATCATGAAGATAATCAAGGAGATGTGTATAAAAGCTAACGTGGCACATGGCAATGCTTCGTCCATATGCACAGTGATGGTGGTGATCATCAGTGTGGCTGTTGGGCTGCCCCTACGGAGGAGAAAGGACGTCATTCCACCTGGCTTCAGAAAGAAGAACAGGACCAGCGAGCAGAAGCAAGAAAAAAGAGAGAATCTGGGTCCATATAAAGAGACCTTTCAAATTATCCAAATGTCTGGAGGTCTGGAGTTGAGGGGCTGCATCTGATAAAGAATGGGAACTCTCTGCAGCCCAAAGGCAGCACCACGGATCTCTTTTTCTTCCTTCAAAGCTACTAATAACATCACAGGGCCCCACCCTCATGACCTCATCTCATCCTGGTTACCTTCTCAAATCCCTACCTCTTAATTCTGTTACAGTGGCAAATAACTTTCAACATGAGTTTTGGAGGAGACCTTCAAACCTTAGTAGTCTGCAAACTTTACAGTGTATAGTAGATTTTTTTGTCATATGATTTTGACTTTACTTTTCTCACAATAATCAAGATAAAGGGTATGGACTTTGCAGTCAAATTCTCCACATTTGAATCCCTGCTCTGTTATTTCTTAGTTGTAAACTTGGATAATATAGTTCATCCAGTTGGTTCTTCCAAAACATAGTAAGTTACCCACAATCCTAAGGAATGAGGATCAGAGCTAATACGTTTCTTGCTGTGTTGGTAAGCAGTATGCCAAGGTGGGCTGACACTAGAGGCTATATATATGAGACATACAAGTTCAAGCCTTCTGGCCTTTCATGCCTGGTGATAAATCTAGTGGTAGAGATTGGTTGAATAAAGAAACTCTGCAAGTTTATGTGTCAAATTTATACTTACAATTCAGATATGAAAGACAGGCAAATTCTTAAAGACTTCCAAAGACAGGCTGGATAAAATAAGAGGGAAAAGAGGGAATAATATTTTTTATTTTGTCTTTTTTTTTTTTTTTTGTACCAGGAATTGAACCAAAGGGCACTTAACCATTAAAGCCCGTGTGTGTGTGTGTGTGTGTGTGTGTGTGTGTTGCTGGGGATTGAACTCAGGTTCTTTGCATGCAAGGCAAGCACTTCACCAACTGAGCTATATATCCCCAGCCTAAGCCTTTTTTATTTTGAGACAGGGTCTCTCAAAGTTGCTGAGGCTGACCTTGAACTTGCAATCCTCCTGTCTCAGTCTCACAACTGTTGGTGTTATAGGCATGCACCATTGAGCTGAGCTTTTTTTTTTTCCTCCTGCATTTGCTTGTTCAGTATATACTCTGTGTTAAGTTCTGGAATCGATATTCCTATACATATTTATAGTGATTAGGAAGGGGCAGAATTGATGATAATGAGGTTGGAATGGAGAACTGTTTGGCAATTAACTTGGGAACTATCCCTAGAGCATTTCTAGACCCACTGAAGTCTTGTGCTGTCTTCCCCAGAGCTGACTCAGGACTGGCTCCCCATCTCACTATAGTGATTAAAGCATTAGACCTACTTAAGATTTGGTTTCTGACAATGGTAGGGTGGTAGCTGAAAAGACCCCCTCCCCCCCCATACACTTCTAGAACACCTTAGGTTGAAGTCCACTGGCCTTTTCTGTCTGTCCCCAGTGTGACGGAGTGGAGGTGGACCTGAGCAACATCTTCCTTGAAGGCATTGCCATTCTCAACATTCCCAGCATGTATGGAGGCACCAATCTCTGGGGAGAAACCAAGAAGAACAGGGCTGTGATCCGGGAAAGCAGAAAGAGCATCACTGACCCTAAGGAACTGAAATTCTGTGTCCAAGGTAAGCCAGACATGAGGACAATTGCTCTAGACCATGTCCCTGTGGAAGGTGGGCCAGCAAAGCATCTCAGGACCTATAGCAGGCTCTTCTGTAAGGTCTGACAGCCCGCCAAGGACCTGGTACCCTGGGAGTGTGGTGACCCATCATCCCTGGTGTTGCAAAGCTTACAAC